GAGCAGAAAGCCCAGATCATTGAGTAAAACTCAAGGTTACTTTCGTTACCCCAGTTCTCTGATATTATGAAGTGAAGGGCGGTGGGTGGAAAGCTCAATTGTAATCGTCGCTGACGTTAGGCATAAAGGCAGGGTTGGGCATCAAGGAAATCTTGGAAAAACCTGGGACAAACTGTAGGCACGAATGGTGAACTGACAGTTCATGCAGCTCACTCACTCACTTTGCAGTCCTACAAAAAGCATAAAACCTCAGATACAGAGCATTGGTAAGGAATGATCTGTTTTTGGTCATACCGTTTCTCAAAAACGCACCCCTTATTTCTATACAGTGAGCGTTTAGAAGGGGCTCTGGCACAAACGTTCCCTCCAAGTTGTGCGTGACCGCACAGCAGCCCCGAGACAAGCCCTGTGTGTTTTTTTCAAAAGTCTTATGGAATGTAGGCCTATATTGAACACCACACATTGGCTGCTACTGTAGGCTGAACGATAGAACAGCTATTTCCATGTTAAAATGTTATGGGATGCATTTTCTCCATTGTTTTTGATAGTAGGCCACTCTGGTAGGCCTACATTATGATAATATAGCCACAGTAGCCTACTTGGCCACTGTTAAAACTGTAACTTAAAAGCGGGTACAGCCTCAGTGTTCACAGTAAAAGCGCCCTGGAAGTTGCACAGAATTTCCACAACGTTCAAGTTTGCATTCAGCAGACCTGAAATTTGCTCAGGGCTGAATTTTTTTTGAGGGAACATTGCCTGGCACTCTGGATAGTCTCAATGACTTGCATCCAGATTTAACCTCTCACAGGCCAGGCCCAGAGGGCCATGGTGTCCGGGTGAGAGTGGAAAATCTCTCAGTTCGCTTGGGTCAGAAGATCCCTGCGTAACGGGAGTTGCCAGGGCTTGTCGTACAGCCTGGCCATCGAGGGGCTACCAAGATGAGGAATGAGCCTTATTTCCTCACTTTGAGTAGATTGGGTAGTATGAGGGTTAGAGGAGGAAAAGCGTAAAGCAGCACCCTCGGCCAAGCGTGTGCCAGCGCGTCCACCCCCAATGGTGTGTCTCCTGCTAGTGCAAAGAACAGCGGGCAGTCCACGTTTTGTACGATGCGAAGATACATTTATCCAGTAGCATCAAAGCGTATTGGTAGACCAGCAGCAGGGTTGTAACATTACCAGGGAAGGAAGTGCCTGTCAGCGATGAGGCTCTGGGGTTGAGGTGGTTGGCCAGTGACGACTCGACCACTGGTGGCTTGCCAAGACCCAGCTCTTCCATGACTTTGACATTCATGTTGGCAAAAAGTCTGGTTTGGTCAATGGTTTGTCCCAGTTACATTTGGCTTCTGCCACGCAAGCTGGGATGGCTGGGAGGAGTTGCTTGCCTGGGACGGTGCGAGGGGAGTTTCCTCCCGTCGTACCAGTCCCTCTCTGCACTGCCACCCCCCACGGGTTTGGGTCACTCAATGCTGAGTCTGGCCACTGCCCGTTTGCAGACGTCGATGAGCAAATACTGTATCTGTCCTCCACCATCGATGCCTGGCTAAGGGTGGAAGAGGGCCTAGCGGTAAAGACCAGCAGACATGAAGCGTGAGCTAAAAGTTACAAAATGGTTTAAAACTACAACTCCATTACCAAAGGAAGACCAAGCATACTACGGTATAAGCCGGATGTTGCAAATGGTTGAATTTCTACAAGACCAAGAAGCGTGAAGCTGAAGCTACACGTATCCGCTACTTACATCAGACAAGAACTCTTGAACATCAGATCGGCAGTTACTTACCCCAATTCCGGCTTTTACACCCAGAGGCTGCCTTTCTGGTTGGTGGCGATTTTAATTTGGCATCACTAAGACACGTGATACCCAACTTCCATCAACACCTCTCCGACACCACTAGGGGCGATAAAGTCCTAGACCACTGCTATTCTACCTACAAACAAGCATACAAGGCCCTCTCTTGTTCGCCATTCGACAAATCAGATCATAACTCCGTACTCTTGCTTCCTGTTTACAAGCAGAAGCTGAAACAAGAAGTACCCGCGATTCACTCCGTTTATGAATGGTCACCAGAATCAGAGGCTAAGCCACAGGACTGCTTTGCACATGCTGATTGGAATATGTTTCGAGACTCCGCCGATAACATTGACGAGTTAGCCATCTCCGTCACCGGCTACATTAGAAAATGCATCGGCGACGTTGTACCCACGGTGAGGGTTTGCTGCTTTCTCAATCAAAAGCCCTGAATTAACACAGAGGCTGGCGCTAAACTAAAGAACAGGGCTACCGCACACAGAGCTATCGTAGAAAACCCTGAGGCTACGGCCGAGAACAGGAATAAGTAAGCTTTGACCTCCGCAGAGTCATCAAACGAGCAAAAGGACAATATAGGAATAAGGTGGAATCATATTACACAGGCTCCAACGCCCGCCACATGTGGCAGGGGCTATAGTCCATTACGGATTGCAAAAGTAGACCCAACCATGATCTGCCCAACGATGCCTCACTACCAGACGAACTCAACGCATTTTATGCATGCTTTGACAACAACAACATTGGTGTAAGGGCCGTCACCAACCCAGAGGATTAGATGATCTCGCTCTCCGAGGCCGACATGAGAAGGGTCTTTAATCAGGTCAAGACCCACAAGGCCGAGGGCCCCGACGGTATTCCAGGGCGCGTTCTCAGAGCATGAGCAGAACAGCTGGCAGGCATATTCACAGTAATTTTCAACCTCTCCTTGTCCCATTCTGTAATCCCCACATGTTTTAAGATGACCACAATCATTCCTGTTCCTAAGAACTCTAAGGCTTCATGCCACAATGACTACCACCCTGTAGCACTCACTTCTGTAATCATTACTCCTGAGTGGCGCAGTGGTCTAAGGCACTGCATCGCAGTGCTAACTGTGCCACTAGAGACTGGTTCGAATCCAGGCTCTGTCGCAGCCGGCCGTGACCGGGAGACTCATGGGCGGCGTACAATTGGCCCAGCGTCGTCCAGGGTAGGGGAGGGAATGGCCGGCAGGGATGTAGCTCAGTTGATAGAGCATGGCGTTTGCAACGCCAGGGTTGTGGGTTCGATTCCCACGGGGGGCCAGTATATATAAAAAAATATGTATTCACTAACTGTAAGTCGCTCTGGATAAGAGCGTCTGCTAAATGACTAAAATGTAATGTAAATGTAATTAAGTGTTTTGAGAGGCTGGTTGTGGCACACATTAACTCCGCCACCCTAGACCCACTCCAATTTGCATACCACCCCAACAGATCCATAGACGATGCAATCTCAATTGCTCTCCACACTGCCCTCACCCACCTAGATAAGAGGAATACCTATGTGAGAATGCTGTTAATTGACTACAGCTCAGCTCAAGTTCGCTGACGACACGACGGTGGTAGGCCTGATCACCGGCGACGATGAGTCAGCCTACAGGGAGGAGGTCAGTGACCTGGCAGTGTGGTGACGGAGCAACAACCTCTCCCTCAACGTCAGCAAGACCAAGGAACTGATCGTGGACTACAGGAAACGGGGGGCGAGCACGCCCCCATCCACATCGACGGGGCGGCAGTGGAGCAGGTAGACATCAAATGGTCCAAACATACACGCAGGGTCGTGAAGAAGGAACGACAGTGCCTCTTCCCCCTCAGGAGGTTGAAAAAGTTTGGCATGGGCCCTCAAATCCTGAAAAGGTTCTACAGCTGTACCATTGAGAGCATATTGGCTGACTGCATCACTGCTTGGTATGGCATTACCACCGCCCTCGATCGCATGGACCTACAGAGGATTGGGCGGACAGCTCAGTACATCACTGGGACCGAGCTCCCTGCCATCCAGGACCTCTGAATCAAGTGGTGTGAAAAGAAGGCACGGAAAATCGTCAGACTCCAACCACCCAAGCCATAGACTATTTTCTCTGCTTCCGCATGGCAAGAGGTACCGGTGCATCAAGTCTGACACCAACAGGCTCTTGAACAGCTTCTATCCCCAAGCAATACGACTGATAAATAGCTAACAAAATAGCTACATGGACTATCTGAGTTTACCTTGTATCTTTATTGACCTTTTATTTCAATCTTTGCACTGTCTCTATGCACACTAACAGGGCCCTACACACACACACACACACACACACACACACACACTGTCACTCCAACGCACACACAAACACTCAATCCATCATTTACTCACTCACACATAATATGCACATACATTTATATTGACTCTAAGCACCCGCACACCCACTCACATACAAGCTGCTGCTACTCTGTTTATCTTATATCCTGTTGGCTAGTCCCCTTACCCCTATTTTGTACATATCCACCTCCATCACTCCAGTATCCCTGCACATGTAAATATGTTATTGGAACTGACTTTTTAAATATTTCCTGTATATCGTATGCATACTTACTTACTTTCTTGTGTATTTGTTTCTAGTAATACATTGTTATTGAATATTACATTGTTGGGTTTTGAGTTTGCAAGAAAGGCATTTCACTGTACTTGTGCATGTGACATTAAAACTTTAGGGGAGGGATGATAGGGTTAGGGGAAAATAATAAAGAAGGAAAATATCTAAAAATATATATATATTTACCCAAAAATATATGGGGGATTGGAAATGATGCAGACAATTACATTGATAGAAGCCACAATCTATCTACAATATTAAAGCTGATCTACCCCCTAAAAAACCAACTGGGCAAAAGATCAGAATTGGACTGCCTGTGTAAACGCAGCCTAAATGGTGTGTTTGTTTATCATTGTGTAATGCTTAAATCATTCCTCAGGTACAGTGTGTAATCAATTGTGTTCACAATCACAGAACAGGGAAGCTGTAAGGGATGTTTGAGTGCATCTCACAACAAATATCTGACAGCTTTAGTAATGACATGTAAAAACAGCTAGCTAGGGTTAAGAGAGGTATATCAAAGGAATACATAACCAGGTCAAATAATAGGCTTATTTTTCCCTCATCTAGGACAGAAGCAGGCATGACTCACATTGTAGAGCACGGTGGTCCAGCCCTCCATGGTGATGCACTGGAAGACGGTGAGCACAGCAAACAGGATGTTATCAAACTGGGTGATGCCATCGTTGGGGCCGATCCAGGTGTCACGGCAGGCGTACTTGTCAGGGCACTTCCTCACCCCACACGGGAACTCTGACTCAGACTTGTCCACCGTCTCATTCTCTGGCAGAGGGACAAGAGAGAATAAACTTCCTCAACTGGTTCATATTGTCCATAGTCAGAGTCCACTAAAGGATCTGTAGGCTAGGTTAAATATTGTTTTAAAGGATGCAATACAGAAATCAGTCTAACTAAACGTGTTTTTCCCATGAGAGATGGGATGACTTCAGAGAAATGTCTCAATTCTGAGAAATTACTTGCGTCTACTGGAGATGAATAAGTAGCAAAATATGATGATTATAATGTAATGCATGACTCGATCAATGAAGTGAGCAGCAGCAGCTCTCTGTGTGAAAGTCCTTTCCTGAACCCTTGTGAAAGATGACGCTAATAATATGCTATTTGATTTGTGCAATGTGTGATTATAATAAATCAGCACTCTAAAGCCAATAGGGGGTAAATAAGGTCCCCTCATACAGTGTGATCCCCACATAACCTTTATGATGACATCATCTGAAACATAACAGTATATTGGGTACTGTAGTAAAGGAATACTAGAATGTATGATATATAACTCTTTACTATAGCAAACAACTGAGACAGTCTGTAGTGTGTTCACCCATAAAATGATTAATTAATTCAAGGTTTATATAAATATGTCCATTCAATAGAAAACAATAGTCCAAACCCCATGTCTCTTCCTTATACTGTGTAACAGGAGGGGGTCGCAGTTCTGGAGCGACCCACTAGGTGTCATCCTCCGACAACCTTAGGCACCTCCTCATTCACAGTCTGGACTAATCATTATCTTATTGGTGTCACCTGTGTCTACCTGTTCACCTGTGTATTTATGCCCTCACTTCCCTGTGTTCCCTTGCTCTGTTTTCTCTGCTAGTTCTCGATGCCAAACAGTACTAATCAGTGTCTGATCGCGAGACGTATATGTTCTCCCTGTTTCATTGTTGTTTTCAGTCATAGTTAGTATCTCGTATGTTTGCTGTCAGCCTGTTTTTGGAGACCAATTTGCTCCTCCGTTATTTTGTATCCTGGTTTTGGGACCACCAGTAATGATCCTTGTTTCACCATCTCTGCCTACTGTCTTTCCTACACCGCACCTGGGTCACACCTCACACCAACCCTTACAATACTGTGTAGTTAAAAATTTACAGATGATTTGCTCTGAGAATTTAGCATGATTAGAGGGAATGGAATGTCATCACAGGCATGATCAAAAAGTGGTCACTGCTCAATAGAACTCTGTGCTGCTGCTACGCGGCAGAACGGAGCTAACTTCGAACATCAACTGACAAGCTAACTAGTGGCTACAGGTTCGTGAGTGAAAACATGGGCTTTTTCTAAATGAAATCCACTGAATACAAAACTAAATAGGGACTAAATATATATTTATTTACAAAGTTAACAGACTACATTTCTATATCCACCATCCGCGAAGACAATCTGTTCCTGTTTTCACTGTGCATTTCTGAGTCTTTCCCTTTAAATCGCCATAGAAACAGCCCCTCTCAACGTAGATTGATCACCAATATAGGCAATGAAAGCCAAGGATCTGGAGGTGAAATGATGAAGGTATCAAGTTGATTTTGATCGGTCCAACCAGTGGAAACAGCGCAGTCTAAACTAGCAACGATCACAGCAAATGAACGTTCTTATTTCATCAAAACTGTCAAGTACAAGTCTATTACGGTTATAATATTGTAGAGAACAATCTAATGATTAATTATATGTAATTTATAATGACATAGGGCAAAGACATCTATGTTTTGACATTCATTTCGTGGCACCCTCTTGAATTGCCCCATTTTTCTCTACATTGTACAGCAGTGAGTGAACACCCTACACTCTGTCAATGGAAGACATCATAGGACATTTTCATAACCAAGTCAAACTGTGAGTGATATTGAACCTTCAACAAAAGATAAGCTGAAGGTAAGGACAATCTGTTTTAAAGATGACATTTTGAGAGGACATCTAATTTCATCATCTTCTCTATCTGTGACAACGAAATTCCTATCATGTGAAAAACTGAAGGAACAAATCCCCCAGTAAGCTTGTTAAAAGCCCACACTACCTGAATAACAAATTCTGTTCAGGAGATAAACATCTGTGTGAATAGAACTGTGTAACCCACTTTACTATAACATGATCCATGCAGCGAGGCAATAACATCTACGACTTTACAATTAGTTGAGGTATTGAGCTGCTATATTGTGGGGTTTAATTACCTAGTCAGTCATGTTGGCTGTGGTTACATTTACAGGTGCAGCCAGGATTGGTACTGTGTGTTTCAGGTCTGTTGTGTAACACAGCTATTGTCAGCCTGACCACTGACAGAGAGCACTCCCAGGACGTTTGTATAGTCTTTTGTTACAGCTGAGGAAGCCTCACAGAAAATAATAATCCACTTGTTGTGTAGGCGCAGTATAAGCTTGCTGATAAATGATCAGCTTGAAGGATGTTTATGATGACTTATCCTACATGTTTACATGTAACAGAGCTAAGGATCACAGCACGATACTAACCTCCTGTTGGTGTTTAAAAATATTAAATGTAGCTAGGTGTTCAATGCAAGCATAGGCTATAAGCAAAGTAAAGGTATAAATACACTGAATACAACAGATTCAACCTCATAAAGGGACACCAACTGCTACAGAACCAACCCGAATTGATATGCAGAGCAGTGTGGTCCTGGATTATTGTAGACTTGATGGCATCTCTTTAAGGCTTAGAGCTCAAAGTGCCCTTTCTCTGTCTGGGTATGTCCCAAAGGTACTCTATACCCTATCTATTCCCTGGTCAAAAGTAGTGCACTACAAAAGGAATAGGGTGGCTATTTGGGACGCATATTCTGTCTTACCCAGGATATTGGGCATGGGCAGACAGGTGTTGTGGAGCTTCCCGCTGTAGAACTCCAGGCCGATGATGGCAAACATAAGAATGGCGAAGAAGAGCAGCAGGCCGATCTGGAGCAGCGGCACCATGGCTTTCATGATGGATTTCAGGACTATCTGCAGGCCTGGTCACACACAGAAAGATAGAGAGAGAGACAACCGTCATGTGTCGTAAGTGCCAACAATGATACACAGCACAAAATAATTATAGATGGTAAGTGTGGGAACCACTTCAAGGAGATACTGTCAGCACTCTCACTTTGGCTAACACAACAGTCCCCCTAAGACATTGTTGCCTGTCCTCCTTTTGGGAGTGTGACGCTACTGCATCTGCTTGCTGCTCAGATATGGTCTGCCAACAAAATAACTAATTAGGGACTAACTTTACAGACTCCAAAATGAGGTTAGACAGGGGTCCAGCAAACACCAGCAGAACCAGTGCAGATACCTATATGTGTACTGTATAGATCAGTGGAGGCTGGTGGGAAGAGCTTTAGGAGGATGGGCTCATCCTAATGGCTGGAATGGAATAAATGGAATGGTATCAAACACATCAAACAAATATGGAAACCACATGTTTGACTCTTCCATTTATTCCATTCCAGCCATTATAATGAGCCCATCCTCCTTTAGTTCCTCCCACCAGCCTCCACTGGTATAGATTTAGATAGGCAGAGCAGATCCATGGACACCCAGTACATCTGGTGGTGTAAGCTACTCACTTGGGATTCCAGAGACAAGTTTGAGGGGTCTGAGCACGCGGACGGCCCGCAAGGTCCGCAGGTCCACTGGGATGTTCATGTGAGCTCCCGCTGTGGCCAGAATCCTGCATATACACACACAACACACAACACAGAGATTATTATTAAATCAGTTATACACCGTTAATATTCCATTAATATTTCAAAGAGTGGTCTGAATGTAATATGTCAATGTATTGGCACTGGTGCCTCCAGATAAAGTACTTGTTGGCGGTGTATTCATCACATCAGCTCCCCAGGAAGACATGACACTTCATCATAACACAGTCTGATTATCTCTAATTAAACTATGTACCTACGCAATGCTATTAGCACAAAATTGTCTCAAAACAACACGAAACAGTCTTTCAAGGCTATTATCTTTTACAGCTTAAAATTGGTCTACACTCAAGACTATTCATGGGTATTCCTCATGGGTAATACTTGAATCTTAGAAAATTCCTGATTTTAAAACAATGAAATAGCATTGGTCAAGACTCAACACACATGATTGACAGATCAATATTGCAACGAAACGGTCCATTAGTGTAATTCTGCTCCTACTCTGTTTAGCTAACACTCAGCATCTATCCTGGCACTTCATCTCTGGGTCTTATCATCTAAGTCATCTGTCACATGTGTGCAGCTAACCACAATAGTTATGTTTTCCCATCAGACTGGAGTAAAATGAGACCAGCCATTATAGATGTGACCCAGTCAGAAGGTTCAGGAGCAGCAGGGAGGGGAAGGGGGTACTAGGGTTCAAGCAATCTGGTTTCACTGGTTCTTGTTTGTGAAAGGCACACACATGTGCATGCACGCAGACACAAATAATACGGAGTGTGAGGGTCTACACCAGGCAGTGAATGCAGGAGAAAACAAGTCTTCATTTTGGCTGCACTGCGTAGGAGGAAGGCACTGACAAATTCTATTAATGAAATGAAGACTGCAGCTCCATCAAGGCAATGTACCTTCAGGCTAGTACGCTGTAAACTGTTAAATAGATACATGTATTATTGAATCGTATTCTTGCTGTGGCTTACATACTAAAACTCTGAATGAAAACAAGATCACTGAGTTTCAATACTTTTAGCAGTGGGCATAGAGTTTCAGCCCCCTGGATAAAATGGTGCAGTCCACAGACTGTGAGTAAGGACCCATCAGCAACTACCTGGAACACATGTGAAGCAGCTCATTATAAAATGCAAATGTTGTCCTTTCTCTGATGCGCCTCTTAATAGGAGGGAACTCATTGGAGATACAGCGCAGCAGGTAGAAGAGAGATATGGAAGGGAGGTCTATGTGTTTACTGTGTACTCCCAGGCCTGGCCCCTGGTCCTTTTCTCCTCCATCACTCCTTCCCTCCTCTCCTCCACGTGTTAGTGGCACTAGGCTGCTGTGCACACTCAGGGGGATTCAAATCACCCTCCCCCGTTTTCTCCTCACCACTCTCTCTCTAAATACACTTCCTGCGCGGCTCACTTCACACTATAATGGGAGTGATAGACAACCCGTGGTCACCCCTCTCACTGTTTTCTCCCTCATTAATTTCTGCCCTTCACCTCTCTCTGTCCAGATCCGACAGGACGCCATTGTTGTGTAGTCTGTGACCGCTCTTAACACAGCAAGCAGGACTTACTGGAGAGAGATGCTAAGGCTTCGTTCCAGGAACACATTTCAAAGTAACAACCTGAGTCTGAATTCAGAGATACAGAGATTCAATGATGTGCGGCTGCAGATGATGTGTCTTCAAACAACAAAGAAGGGGGTACTTTTTTCAACATTAGCAAATTGTTATATCACTGTTTTGTCATTTTCTGTTAACACAGTGTTACACAGAAATAATACAGAGTATATTGAATATGGCACAGATCCAATTATAGCCTGAAAAGAATAGCTGCAGCTCTTTTTTTTGTGGTGAAGATTAGTCACATCTGGGGTGTCAGGACACTGGGGTGTCAGCCATTTTAATTAAGACTTGAGAGAGATTTTAAAATAGCACATCCATACAGAGACAGAAATGCTATTATTCCATCTAGGATGAGCTGAGCACAGACACACTTGAGCCTCCTCCCCTTCTCCAAATCATTACCAAGTCTGGGCTGCTCTTTAGTTGTTATGGAGACTGGGGGATCTAGGAGCTAAAAATGTAATCCCCATTTATTCTGCTGATGGACTTCCTGCTCAGGCAGACACCCTTGTGATTTGTGAGGAGCTAGCCAGGTGAGCTGTACTCTGGTCTGGTCTATATTAGTGGACAGAGAGAGTGGCCACTGGGCAGACACATGTGTAGGCTAGGTACATGAGCTTGATGATACATAGTTACAGTAGATGTGTAGCCGTCGAGTCCCATTCAACAGAAGGCATAAATAAAGTACAAAGAGAACATCTATGTTAGGCTTGGGCAATATACTGTTTACACCGTATACCGGGGTATTTTGAAATACTGACGGTATGATTTTCAATACCGTTTGCTAAGCAACAGTTTTTTGTTTGTACAGACGAAACCAGTCTGTCAAAAGTTGCTAACTCACGTCTAAATTCTCAAACTAAATACATACTGCATTTCCAACCACAAAACCTCTTTGCTTTGATTTTAAGCCTCAAAATATAATAACTTTCCTAGCTAACAGTTAAATGTTTGTTTTTGTTCTAATTCTATTTTCTATTTTCGAGGCTCCACATGTTGTCATGGAAAATATGAATGTTATTTCCAACAACCAATGAGCAACTCCGCCATAAATCCAGCTGCATATTGAGATTGCCGAAATGCCAGTCTCTTTGGCAATGACATGGAGTGGCAAGGAGTAGAATGTTAGCTAAAAAGACTGGTACCCAGACTAGAGACATTCAATCCGCTCCTGGATCAAGATCCCTGTTGCCTAAATTGTTTTGTGCGTCAAAAATAATATATATTAAAAAAATTATAGCGCCCCTTGTGTCACACACTGATTGGTTTCACCTGTCTTTGTGCTTGTCTCCACCCTCCTCCAGGTGTCGCCCATCTTCCCCATTGTCCCCTGTGCATGTATTCCTGTGTTCTCCGTTTGTCTGTTGCCAGTTAATCTTGTCTTGTCAGGACTTACCAGCGTGCTTTCCCGTCTTCCTGTTTTCTCAAGTTTCTATTTCCTAGTTTCCCCTGTTCTGACCATTCTGCCTGCCCTGACCCCGAGCCTACCTGCCATTCTGTACCTGCCTGACTCTGACCCGATTATGAACCTCTGCCTGCCCTGACCCCGAGCCTGCCTGCCGTTCTGTACCTTACTGACTCTGCCCTGGATTACGGACCTCTGCCTGCCCTTGACCTGTCTTTTGCCTGCCCCCTGTTTGGTCAATAAATATATGTGATTCTAGCTGTCTGCATCTGGGTCTTATCCTGAGTTCTGATAGTACGAACTGGCCATGACTGACCCAGCAGACTCAGACCAGCTCCACAATGCTGTCTCCCAGCAAGGAGCCACCATTGGAAGACACAAGGAGTTACTGCAATGCCTTATGGAGGGACTCCATACCCTGGCGGAACACCATGACCAGGCATTCGATACATTGCTGGAGCAATTCCGCGGATTCCCTACAAGGCAGCAACTCACACCAGTAATTCCCCAGACTCTCAGCAACCCCGCCACCAGCGGCGCTTCTTCCCAGCCTACCCCAGTGTCCCGAGAACCCCGCTTACCTCCTCCGGAGCGTTACGCTGAAGATTCTGGAACCTGCCGGGCCTTTCTCTCCCAGTGCTCCCTCGTCTTCTAGCTGCAGCCTTCTTCGTTCCCCTCGGACCGCTCGAGGATAGCGTACATCATAACGCTAATGTCCGGGAGGGCACACGCCTGGTCTACGGTGGTGTGGGAGCAACAGTCCGCCGTCTGCCTCAGTCTGGAGGAGTTCATGGCGGAAGTACGGAAGCTGTTCGAGTTGTCCGGGAGAGAGGCTGCTCGTAAACTGCTTCAGCAACGTCAAGACTCCCGTAGTGTGGCAGACTACGCAGTGGATTTTCGCATGTTGGCAGGGGAGAGTGCCTGGAACCCGGAAGCATTGTTCGACATGTTCCTTCACGGATTATCGGAGGTGATCAAAGATGAGCTTGCAGCCCGGGAGCAGCCCATGGACCTCGACTCCTTCATAGCCTTGACCATCCGGATTGATGGGCGGCTATGAGAATGTAGGAAGGAGAGGGAATCTGTTCCCTGTCGCCCTCGCTCGCCCTCGATTCCCACCTCGCCTCCAAGGAATCCCGGAAACCCCCGAAGGCATTGCCAAGAGAATCCGATGTCACCCGAGTGTTCACGGGAATCGCAGAGGGCGGTCGACTCGCCTCCTCCAGAGCCCAAGCTACTGGGAAGGGCTCGATTGTCTCCGGATTAACGTTTACGCAGACTGAACACCAGGAGCTGTCTGTATTGCGGGACTACAGGACATTATATTTCCACCTGTCCATTAAAAAGACCAGGCTCATCAGTAGGTACGAATACTCTGGTGAGCCGTATGGGGATTTTCCAATCTCCCATTACTCGCACCCCTCTCCAAGCCACCCTGTTATGGGGTGAACAGGCCAAATCACTCCGGGTGCTCATTGACTCTGGGGCCGATGAGAGCTTTATCGATGCTATCGATGCTTTATCTCCGCTCAGCCCCTCTCCATTCCCATGGACGTCAGAGTGCTGGATGGGCACTCTATTGGCAGAGTCACCCGCAATACGATTCCTATCGACCTATGAGTATCAGGAAATCACAGTGAGTGTATGCATTTCCTGCTCATCGAATCTCCCTATGTATCCGTGATTTTGGGATATTCTTGGCTCCAGAAGCACAATCCCCTGATCGACTGGGCTACTGGTGCTATCATGGGTTGGAGCCCGTTCTGCCATGCTCATTGTCTCAAGTCGGCCCAGCATGCCCAGGGACGTCTTCCTGCAGGCTTGAGAGAAGCCACGGATCTCTCTGCCATTCCCGCGGAGTACCTGGACCACCGGAAGGTCTTCAACAAGGCCTGCGCTACTTTTCTCCCTCTGCATCGACCCTACGACTGCGCCAGTAACCTTCTTCCGGGCACTACACCCCCTCGGGGGCGGCTTTACTCACTGTCGGG